CTGGATGATCTGGTGAACTGGAAAGTGACCTGAGATGACATGATGTGAATTGGAGCTATAGAAATAAACTGAATAGAATTGATTTGAAATTAAATAATTGCACTTCTAAATGCATACATATGAAAACATATAAAATTATTAATTAAATGAGTAAATGTAATTTTAAAGAATAAGAATATGTAATTTAAATACATAAAGAATATGTATTTAAAAATGTATATATATATATATACTTCATTATTTATGTATAAATAAATATAGAGTGAATTAAAAAAGGAATAGAACTAATTCCACTGTCGGCAGTACAGAGCAACTAAATTCCCTCTCTGCATTTAACCTTCCCCTCGGGGAGCAGTGGGCTGCCATTGTGCGGCGCCCGGGGAGCAGAGTGGCATTAAGGGTCCTAATCAGGGACCCAGAGTGGCAGTCTGTGGGAGTGGGACTCAAACTCACAACCTCTGGGATCCAAAGCCCAAACCAGCCAGAAATTTTTTATAAGGGTGGCCTGGCAATAACCAATGTACACTAAGGGGGGGCCGAAAGTGGATCGGCACCAGAACCTCACAGTCCATCTACTCTGTTCCAACAGGAAAATTAACAAGCAAAACATCCATATTTTCTAAATAAAGACAAACTATACTTTCCTACAGCCTTTGCTAAAAAATAGGCGCATATATTTAAACATCCGTAATTTTCTGATTAAAAGATAAACTGGATGAAACTCAGTTTTGAGTTCTGGGGCGTAAATCAATCATCATTGTCATTACTTACCTACTTGTATCAATAAATGTTCTGTATAAAATGGATATTTACAAGCACTAATATCTACATAAATTAATTATTTGATCATTTTTTAAAATTTAAATTGTTATTTATCTATGATTTCACTGAAGACTCCTAGATGACTTTACCCCACATAACACAAAATGAAGCTCTGAAAAGAGCATGAATTCTGTATTTATCATCTTTGGTGTTATATTGAGTATATTGATGTGTATATCTAACCACAAAAAAATTAAATGTTTTGAATATTTCACTTGAGAGTATTACTGTTGCCACCATCTGTCTTAGAGGGGAATAAATGATAGGGGTGGCCAATGATCGGCTAAGGGTGGCCATGGCCACCCCTGGCCCCCCATCTAGCTCCGCTCCTGCTCCACTCCAATTTATATTTTAAGGGTCCAGATTGTTGCATCGTAATTGTCTAAAATCTTTGGGATTCTGTTTTAGATAAATAAATCAATGTTACATTTATTTATTTGTAGAACATTCATATTTTGGCCGTCATAT